GTTTACGGCACAGGAAAAGGAAATGAACCGCTCAGCACCGTCATTTCACGCATCAGGCTCCGATGGCTCGGCCACGTGTTACGCATGCCAGCCCACCGACTCCTGCGACGTGCGTTCTTTGTGCGCCGGGGGTGTGGATGGAAGAAGAGGAGGGGTGGCCAAGCGATGACTTGGTCGACAGGAATGAAGGCCCTCACTTCTTAGCTGGCCTTGGTTGGAGCGTCTCGGGTCCTTGGTTTGGGTCCGAAAGACGATGAACACGTTTGGTTGGACACACTTGCTGATATGGCTAGGAGCCGATCTCAGTGGCGTTCGTGCTGTGAGTTTGTTTGTCCCACCCCATCCCTCCTAGCCTCCCCCTCCAACCACGATCTCATTATTTAGCCTTATATAATCTTGCATAATATTTTTTTTTCTTTTTGGGTGCACAGCAGCCGGCTGGTAGCTTACCGGAACGACGCCCATCCGTTACAGGTAGCTCAGCCGGCTTGCAGCAGTTGCATTTTCTCTCTCCTTTTTTCTATGTATTGCGGCACAGTAGCTGAGGTGTTCCCCACCTCTAGCTAACTTGTATGATGATGATGATGATGACACAGTAACCCGTTATTCCGTTCCTTAGACCCCAGCTTAGTACCACTCATCTCCTGGCTGCTTCTCACTTGACGCAGTAAACTGTTCTTCCCCCAATGCTTCCGTTTTACATTGTATTGCATTCTCCACTTCCCACTGTACCTTAGATGTATCGGAGGGCGTGATGGGGGTGTCACGCTTTCAGCCGTCGTTCATTCTGTCTAAATGTCACCTAGGCCTGATGAAGATACGGCTAACCGTGAGAGTGCACTCTCACCAAGGCTCCTCTACGCTATTCTACGCTGCTGCACGCCACTTGATTACGCAGTGATGATAACACCTCGATTGGTGATGAAACGTTTGCAACCAAATTGACAAGCTCAGCGAACAGTTCAACTGCCATGATGCTCCCGTAATGATAACGGTGAGCAGAAGCGGAGGCGAACATAGCATACGGATTACGGTTCTCCATCTCAGTGTAAGGTTCCCAAATCAGAGCGGAAGGCATCGGACTTTGGGCACAGACGAAATGAAATCCGTTTGATGGAGTAAGGAGCCCGCCTCACTCCAACCGTCAGCCTGCATGACCAACGGATTGCCTTTCTCTGACCTTGCACCATTGACCGAACTGGTATCAGTGGCTCTGAAAGCCCAACAAGCACCAGCCACCATATACGAATGGAACGCTCACGCGGTAAAGCAAGGCACCACGTTAAGGTGCAGTCTCGTCCTCAGGGAGTGAGGTATCGTCGCCTCCTTAAATCCTATCAAACCAAAGGTCTTTCCTTCGTAAAAATTTCAGATAACAAGTGCAGTGTACGTCTCACAGCATATGGAAATAGATATGGATGTGAAAATCACATGCACTTACCAGATATGGGAACTTACTTCCGTAATATGTGGTTGCTGAGCAAATTGTACTCCGTGCTACAGGCACGGCGGGCGGCTGAAAGCCCTGTAAATGCGTTTCGTCAGAGATAATTGCAACTCCATTTGACGAGGACCTGGTGCAGTGTACATGGAGCGCTGCCATGTACGAGACACATGGTGCATAAAAAGGATTATCATCTGCAGTGCATATTACGATTAATAACAGTGTCAGATTTACTTGCAACAGTAGATGCAAATATACGACGGTTCCCCTTGATATCGCGCGCAATTTTGGTGGAACCAACGACCACATATGTCACACATGATCCAATCCACCTTGTACGCGTCATCATGTTCATCGTCCTCCTGCACACATAGCCCACATGCACTGTATTCCATACACGCGGGTGCAGTCAACGAAAATGACGGATGCGGTACTAAGCAGACGTGGCGGTTTGCGGGCGACGGAACTTCAACTCTTTTACCTCTGCAAGTTTGATAGGGGGCTCCGATACGTGCAAGCATAGCGGCGATTTACGTTTGCGGATGCGGGACACGTTGCCATTAAGCGTTCCTGATGACGTCGCCGTGTTGATTGGCCCTGTAAACTGTGCTGGCGTAATGATTACCGTCTCTTTAGTCAAGGCAACCGTACCCTCCACTGACATGCTACCTAGCGCCTCCTAGTTTACGCAGCACGTGCCCTGTACTGACGTGATGGTTAAACCATCATTGTTTACGGCACCGGTCACCTGTGCTGACGTGCTGTCTTCCGCCACATCGTTCATGGGACCCCCAATGCTGAGCAAATGGACCATGCTCTGCGTGCATGTGGTCTGTCGCATTGCTTAACAACAACGGCAGATTCCGGCTGGTTAGGTGCAGCACCTCGGATTATGCAGGTAAACTGCTGGTCTTAAACTGCTGGGTAAACGGTATGTTGCTGACAAAGTGGAGATGCCTTGATTCTGAACCTCTGCTTGGGGTGTTAAGGCTTTGTGCTGGGTCTCTTTGATTTGACACACCCAGATAGCTATCTTCGCTTGTACTTAAGACACCCCCGCACCTAATTGTAGGTTGAACCTTGGCGATTTCGTCGTTTGGTTTTCTTAGTATGATGCCCGATGTAGATTTAGTGAACGTGTACCCACGTTCCGAGATGACCGGCGACAAGTGAAGGACTGTGAGGTCCTCGCAAATCACACTCCCATCCGCTTTCGTCTTTCGAACGAAGCGTTGTCATCATCTGTCGTACTCTTCATCCTTTTTGTTCCACGCACAGTCCAACCGGTCCTCCAAAGCCACTGGTGCAAAATTCGAGCAACCGCATAAGTTAATCTAGCCGATTCACAGCTCAATTATGGCGAGATCATGGGCATCCTGAGTAATACTGCATCATTGTAGTACATGGTCCAAGGATTCGCTGAGCCCGCAGACACAATCGCAACTCATATCGGCCTAAGTTTAGTGACGTCGCGGACAGGACACCACTCCCTCATCTGTATAGAGCTTATATATAACCGCGGAACTATATGCTCAGGGTCCTTGGACCATGTCTTGCTAGCATTATCGTGAAGTTCCGGATACACCGATCAGCAACTCGACTACCACTTCAATGGGTGAGGCTAGGCACCGGGGAGTGAATCACTCTTACCCACCATCATGGCAGATTACCGTCCTATCGCCCCACCAACCCTTCGGCCCATTCTGTTCAGGATGATCTGGTGGGCACTACCAAATTTCAACTTGAAAGCCACTTTTATCACTTCGTGATGAACGAGCTACTCCATCAGGTGATGTAGTTTCAAAGTTGCGGTCGTTATCTCAGCCATGTAACCAAATTTTGAAGTGCTCTTCGTCTTACGTCTGCCTTTTAAAATAAACGTAGAACTAATCTCCCTAGCCTCATCCATCGCACTCAGAGAGACAACCATAAAGTCAGCCAGCTTATAGGTCCGGTTGGAATATGTATAAATGCACGCTACCTTGTCGAAAAGCTCTATCCAGCACGTCCGATTGTTCGGCACGCCACTCCTAATAAACTAGGAGACTTCCATCCAAGTGGCATTCAAGACACGCCTCGCTGCAGATTTCTGCGTCTGATAAAAATTATGTGTTACCGCATTAGTTCGTTCGTGAATCTCTTCAACGGGTTGGTACACCTCTGGTAGGACCCGGCTTCCTCGGTGTCTTTTTAAAGGAGAAGCAGTCTTCCGTGTAGGCTATAAAAATGAGCCTTGCCTCGTGCAGATCTACTCTGCTCTGCTGCAAACTTAGCGCCATGTCAAATAAAGCCAGGGAACGTAGATTGGGGTCCAAACAACACCTTATATGATTGCTAATAGCTCACAATAGCTCCCTCCTATAGGCATCTAATCCTGGGGATTTTCTACCACCTGGTCCGAGAAAGGCGTCAGGGAGACAGATCCAAAGTAGGCTGGTACTTCAGCTGTGTCTGACATAAGCGCACCTGATGGGACCAGTGGAATTCCGGCACCTTCCGGCTAAGGTGGACAAACCATGTCCTGGTGCTCCTCCACACGCGATTCTGACGACTTCGTATCTCATAAAAGATGGGATGTATGCGATGGTTGAGAGCCAGTGACAGAGTGCATATCGGTATCCCTGACTAGTACACTTGGTGCGGCCGGCCCATGGCCGAATGCAGCACACGCCTGCCTTGTAATCCGGAGGTTCAAGCCTGCGTAGGGGATCGGATGACCCTCGCAGTGTCCCTAGGCCACGCGCGACTGGTGGTGATTGCGTGGCAGCGAAGCGTCGGTACTGCGCACCGGCATACTACTGATGCATTTTTCTTTATGCATGAGGCCATCCAAGTTTCAGTAGTTGTTTTCTAACCACGCCAGTGCTACGATCGGCGAGGAATTCTTGAAACTTTAAGTACACCGTCGATTTCTTTCTTAACTTATCGAACAAAGCGTTTGCCTTGTTTAGTGTAATTTGGTTATCGATCTCAGTCTACAGTTCCTTTTTGGGAATCAGGACACCTCGCTCTACACTATGCTCAATCGGATGCCTACGGCGTTTGATTTGGCCAAGTCACCTTTAAGTTGCAAACCACACTCAGCAAAACCATGTGGGAAACTTACCACTAAATAATCCATCGACCCTACTCTCGATACACCAGCATCAGAAGCGGTTACTGTCAGGGTCTGACGTTCTAAGATTATAAGTTTTCTTGGAGATTTAGTAACCACATACACCTCAATGTGCTACTAAATATCAAATGATGAACTTTTATGTGGCTCGGTCGGTTCTCCCACCAGATACTCTGTAGGCAGCAGTGGTCAAGTCCGTTCACTATCCTTACCTTCCCAGAACACAGCAACTACGCCTTTTATCCACGAAGCAATCCTGACTGCGCCTCGGCGTTGAAAGCGAAATTAGTCAGTTAAAATGCAGCAACCGAATACGCTATGTTCGTGTGTTGTACGCTAAGTTACAGTACTAGTTGAACGGCGTGTCCTTTCGTTCGTTTATCTGTGCCATTCAAAGTTATAGGACTAGAGGTTTACGTGAAAAGTTTGTTTACGGTGAACATTGAGAATTTGGGACTTTATTAACCGTTCAACTCAGTGAGTCGTCCAGTCTGACGCATGAATTGATTTGCAATAATCACCGCACCGTTTGTATAGTGCTTGAGTTTCTGGAATTCATGTTGAGTTACGTATATCCCTATTGCTATCTATCAGTCTCGAGAAACGCTGCTTCGAGTACCATGGTGTCAGTCAGTCGTTCCGTTTTTCCTTACTTAATTCACTAGGTCTAACAACATGCGTCCGGAGTGTTTACTTACTTGAATCGTATTGTCGTTGACAGTTTTAAGTGACCACATCCACCCTTCGTCATCCACAACATACATGTCTACATTAAATCTTTCACATTTGAGGTGAGATAACTTAAATAATAATAGAAATCCAATTCAGCCACCGTGCCAGACGCGCTTATTTGAAAAAGCTTAAGCGTAAAAAGAAACGCCAGGCTCGGGCGCAACTGGCTGAGAAACTAGAATTAGAAGGTAAGAGCACTCTTTATGAACTGTTTGTTTGCTGCAGAGTTCTCTCGACTAGAGGCTTCTCCCTCGTATCAACTGAAATTGAAAGAGGAAGAGAAACATTTACAGCTCGAGAAGGAACGGAAGTGAGTCATTTATCGAGCTATCGCTTTACGTTTGTTTTCTTTAAGCGAGCAGGAAGCACGGGACTGGCTGAACCGAGAGATAGCCGCTCAAGAACAGTGGAGGGAAGAACAGAGAAAAAAGGCCGAGCTTCAGCGCCGAGAAGAAGAGCTATTGGTGCGTATCCTTTTGTTTAACTTCTTAAACCATACATTACACCTTTAGCTGTTCCCATAAAGAGAGGATTAAAACACCCACTAACCATGCGATCATGTAGATTGGCCATTAAACACTAGTCTACTGTCCTTACATCTCACCATCTATCTATTGATCACTAATTCCATAAGTATTCCGTAGGAACCGATCTATCTTCAGTTCTCTGGAGACTGACGGTGTCTTGCGTCAGCTGCATGTTCTAGACCACTTAATGAAAATACATCGGAGGACGTCATGGCATATTGAACCGCTGTGCGCAATGCCTTGTTTCCACCCTTTTACTTGTAATATTCAACCTTGTTTTATGAATATCTCTCTACTGCCTAAGTGACCACTTCTTCCCGTGAAATGCTGTCTTTTGTCTCCAATTCATTGGCTCCCTAACACCTCTGATATAGGCATAAAGCAAATTGTGAAGGTAACTAGCTGCTTGAGTTGGAAACTTTTAGCTTATCATCATTAGTATCACAGCATGTCATTTGACTGTGACCACTGCCAAATCTAGCATAATATGAATGCCTTTGCGGATTATATCATATGTTCTACTATCATACTTCACGTTTGCTGCGGGAGTGTGATAGCAAATGTTGCAAGGTGCTTGGTTAGACCCGGACTGCACCTATTTACAAACAGCCTGGAGCTTCGTACACATGAACCAAGCTATTTGTGGAATCTCCGGATCGTTACTTGAATCCCCAACTATACGTGTACTAGTATGATTCTACATGCGAGCGGAACCTTTCTAAGCGCTAACAAATGGTGAGCATATAGCTGCGAGGTTTCTACTCTGTTGGCGTTGCAGATGAAACTTCGATCATCTCCTTCTTAGTTCCCGATCTTCGTGCATTCTTACACTTATCTTTTCAGTGTACCCTAGTTTACATGAACTCCTCTACATAACGGCTGACAACTAGTTTTCATATTATTTGTCGCTGTTTTCCCTCCTCCTTACGGAAATAATACATAGCTATACACTTGTCTCGTTTCGCCCGCTGCACCCTGACTCTCGTGGTGATTGTCCTTCATGTAGACGGGGACTAACTGTCTTGCAATCGTTCCATTACGGACTCCTAGTGAAGTCCAGAATCATGTGCGTAGTTATCTACCCTGATGTACTTGCTAAACTTTGGGGAGCCAGAGGCCTCTTATCACTTGCAACTTGCTCAACTCCTACTGGGACCGGAACAGTAGGAAGATCCCGTGAGTGTTCTAACTTTGATAACGTCGTTGAACCCGGAGGGCGTTTTACCGATTGACGTGCCAAGGAGTAGCCAACTGTACGCACACGATTCACACCATGATCATCCAAATATTGCCCACGCGCGCAGCAGTAGCAGTCAATGCGATGCCGACCACGTGAAGTGTAATAGAAGTGGAACAAAAAACAAAGGGAAGGCAAGCTTGGACAGTTAATATGCGCAATTTAGTAAATCGAATTCAAAACAATGTACGAGGGAAGTAATTCTCAAAAAAGTGTGAAAGCTTAAGATATGAAAAGGGCCAAAAGTGTCGAGTCGATATTCCAAGTCTCAATGGCACCATCACAACATTCGCGGGCAGTACGTAACAACTCATTCAGACCTTAATGGATGATCACTAAGACTTGGCACCCGAGTGGGATGGAGCAGTGCAGATAAATCATGGCCGATCTGATCTGTTAGTATGCAGTGGATTCTGACCAGGTCGCTCCGAAATCGCCTATAATTCAACGAAAACATGTCTAACTTGAGCAGCATCTCAGGGTGAGACAGTTTCCTTAATCCACGTACCACTTTCATCTCAGACCGTGGGATTCGGCATGTTCAAGTTATTCGCAAACGTTAGAGATCACACTCCTAGCTCGTCAGATTAGTCGTTTACGTATAAATGGAAAATATTGGGCCAAAGATTGTAACTTGTGGGACAACACTGATAACCCGTTGGCAAAAGACATGGACTGGAGTCCACGCGAGCGCACATCTCCCTTCCGTTTAGAAAAGCCCAAATGCATGATAGGATTTGTTCAGGAATACTATTGGACTATAGCTTGCTTAAGGGAGAGAATGCGTAATGATATCAAAAACTTTGGAAAGAAGTCAATGGACAATACGTCAACTAATTTCCCACGGTCAGTGTCTTGACCCACTGCACGAAAGTTACCGGCAAGTTGACTAGACAAGAACAACTTATCAAGCCGTGTAGAGAGCGGTTGAGCAACCCAAACTCCCTTAAATCACTTTCGAGGGCATCTGCTACAAGTTATTCCAACAGCTTGACCAGCATGCTCTTCAAACTGACCAGTAGTAGCTCGCAGCGAGAAATGTGTCGCCTTAAAAGCGGGGAAATCAATAGCTTCCTGCCAGTTGATAAGTCGAGAACGGCGGCACAGCTACTTCTCAAGCATTTGTGTAATCAGATAGCAGGGCTTATCTCCATTGGTATTTGTTTTTACTGCGTTTAGGTTTCGTTTACTTCGCCATTTTACGCGACCCATCTTTATTTGACTCCTTCACTATAATCTGTTTTAAGTGCCACCTAGATCCTACTTTCACATTGAACACTGGAGACTTCCATTTCTAGTGTTTTCAATCATCGTCTGATTCGCTGGTCCACCCACCTCGTCGCCCTTCCCACCTCCACCTACCTTCTGGTTACCTACTCGCTTATTCCCAAATTGCAAACAAATTTGCTGTCATTTCACACATTACATCACCAGCCTAGTGGGTTTGTGCTGGAGCTTCTTTAGCTGCTCTTTCGATCCACTTGTTTGGACCCACACACCCTCAAACTGTCCTATTCACATGTGGCAGCTGGTGGTTAAATCGTTTCTGACACCGCTCTCTTTGTGGGGAGAAATTCAACAGTATTTTGCCACCCCACTTTTGAACATTTCTGAGTGATGGGGCTAATCGGGATGGAGCACTTTCTATTTTAAATTTTCTTACCACAGACAACATGAGTTGTGATGCGAACCCGTTTAGACGGCTTTCCTCCATAATTTTTTGAACTAAACTAGAAAAACCTTTACTCGCTGCTGACAGTTCCCGATAGGTCTGACTCCTCACTCTACACTTCATCTCTGGGCGTGTGACTGAACCTATTTACATTGTAATACATGCTCACGGACTACCCGTGGCTTTTCACTGTGCTCCATGTTGCTTTTCTTTCTCCTTTGCAGCTTCGAAATCGTGAAGAAAGGGCGGGAGTTCAGTTGGAAAAGGCGCCTCAACCGGAACCAACAAACTATCTGATTCAGGTTGAGAGCATGTTGTTTCACATTCAACTCGATTCAGCCGTCGTATCCTCTCATGAGTTCTCCGTGTCATGTGTTAGCCTTCCACCTTTCTCTATATTCTCGCCAATGGTCTCTGTGCTTCTCTGATCTCCTCACCGTTCTCAACCTTCATCTATAACGGTATTATGGGTAAAATTACTTGCCATCAGTTACTTTCCTGTTACGACCTTAACGAAGACTACCAACTACAACAGCTGCGCTCATTAAGTGACTGTCAGCTAATATATGCACTCATATTAAATGTCTTAGATAGCCTTAAATGGTTCGTTCGCTAGCGCGTTATTATGAGCATTTTCCTCGTTTACGACAACACCTTACCATGTATCCTTTGGTTCACCGGATGCTGCAGGGCAATTTATATTCTCTCGAATACTGATTTGTTTCCTCACTTGTTTACGGCTCGCGCTATCGATCGTCCGCGCTAGACACATTGTTCATTGTTCCTGCATACTCCGCCCGAAGCACGTTTACATGAGACCTGGGTAATTTTTCTCGGCGTCTGAAACATACGCTTCTGGCTTTCTACTCCTTTCTTCGAATTGCCCTGTGAAATTGTCTCCATTTTCTTAACCAATCCTGCAATTAGCCATGGATGATTTGCGGATTCGTTTTCAACACGGGTTATCCAGTCTGTCAGTTCACTCAATTCGCATTTCTTCGAGGTATGCTGATATTTTTACTCTGCTTATGCACTCATGTAGTCGCCTCATAATTCACTGTTCGGCCACATTTCCATTTACACGTAATCTCCTGCTTGTGCCACCTCATTTATGCGAAGCTGGCAGCAATTCGTTGTCCGCGTCATTTTGTCGTTTTAGTCATACTCCTGATTTGTCTTTTTTCATTTTTGTTTCTTACTAACTCACTCCTTTCGTGCTGCTGTGTATCCCTTTGCTTTCGGCTACAATCTTCATTTTTTAACGATTCTGATGTCCGAGCGATACAGTGTATCTGGGTAGCTACACATCCTGAACGCGCGACGCGCATTAAAGCAATACACAGCCTGACAAAGTAGTTCTTTTTCTTATTCAGTGTACCTGGATCCATATTGGACACCATTTATTTTCATCAGTCTCCGAATATTCTCAATCGACTTCTTCCATGGGCTCAGCATTAATGAGGCGTGTTTGATTGTCTAGCCGCTGTGTCAAACACTGCTCGCGGGGCTCAATGGCCTGATTATCATGGCGACAATCGCTAACCACTTGTGCCGAGTTCCACTCCCGAATCAGGCTGTATCTATCTGATGCGTTCATACAAGGACGAAACCGTCGGTAATGGAGCGCAATGATAAAAGAGAGCAACACTAAAACCCTCTAAGGGGTGTTTGAAATTTTGCGAAAATGGTTCAGCGCACGAGGTACTTTCTTCAATTCCGTTACATTCGAACCATCCAACCATTGATTTCTCATCACTTCCACTGACTTGTCACTGGGACAAAAGCTTGTTACCTGTTTCAGGCTAGACAGCCAAAATCGTTGGAAAGACGATATATTTTTCTAATTTAAACGCCCTGAACTTACGGCCACTTTTTCTGGCTGTCAGTTTGAGCAGCAGATTTAAGTGCACTTCACAAACAAGTGTAATCCACTGTTTAAATTTAAGAATATGCACCGTACGTCTTGTACTTCTCCATGGCACTGGTGATGCTGATTACGTCGATACTTACATATCTCCTAGCTCATCCTACTTGCATAAGATGTGAAAGTGGGGGATACTCGAGTTAGTGATCTTTCTTCTACGAACTTTGCTCGATGTCGCGCTTGCTAGTCTTTCTATGCTGAAGCCTCACGTGATTATACAGCTTGGGTACAGGAACTTCAAAACAGTACTTTTTCGGCTCAGGGGTAACTACTGAAGAATTAATCCACTGTTTTAATGCTTCTCTTATGTGCTCTCCATCTCACACTCCGAATCCCGACAAAAGAGCAATAGCCAAAACCTGGCTGGCCGGATTACTACTCATTGACGTACATCTCTGAATGAAGCTTTCCGCTTTCCAATCATCTATGTATTTGCCATGACGCTATCCCTCATGTCTGGTTCGTTACCACCGTAAATGATCGACCATTCGCGTGACCAATGACATGTTTGCCCTCAGTAACGATCCATCGCCGATCCACCTCCGCGGTGTCAAGTTGTGCGGTGCGGTGCGGTGCGAACACCAACATACATCATCTACGCTAGTTGATCCGACATTGCACGATGATGGGCTTACGCTTGGACTGTGAATCAACCTTGTGCATGAGTACGGGTTTAGCAATCGTGAATCTTGCATACGGTTATCGCATCGATATCCAAACAACCATACCACAAATGGAACGTTAGTGTCAAATGGTGTTTCACAAATTTTATGTCCCTGGTACGTTGTCTTCCCTTACCATCCTGTTATCTGATTAATCTTGTGGCACCAGATTTCAGTTCAGGAGTTGTGCGGCTACGCGCAGCGCATGTGCGTCTGCTTGCGGTGCCCTTGATCGACACCGAACTGGGCATTGGATATGCATTCCGTCAGCGAATCTGCTTGAATTAAAAAGAGTCCCTGTTGGCACTAAGCACAGTGCGGCCGAACTGGTGACAAAAATACCTGGTATACACAGTAGGCTCATAAAAGGCATGACGCGGGATGAACCGTGAATTACTGCAGATCTTTCAGCTACTCCACCCCGCGTTCCAAAATATCGCCACTCCGTGAGACGGCAGTGAATTGAGCCCGCACTAGTTCATATTTGAGAAAACTGACTGAATGTCGCATTTTAAAATATTTCTTTTGGTTTCCTTCCTCCGAGACATTTCGTTCCTCTCTGACGCATGTCGAAAGGTGGCCGGTCAGGTTGAAAAACTACCAAAAGTTAAAGTTCAACACGTGATCACTGTCTCCAACCGTTTTTGTGCTGCTGCCATTATTTAGCAGTGGTGATGGGTCTACTGCAACATGTTTCTGGGTCGATTGATTCAAGCGCATACTGCACCATCTTGCTCACCGCTGGAGCTACCATCGCGCAATACTCGAATCAATCGATCGTCTTATAGTCGGAACTGAATTCTCTAACTGCTATATTGGGTACTGTTGTTCCATCTCGGTTTTCTAGTTGTGGTTCACACTCCCATTCCTAACTCAGGTCGCTACCTTAAGGAGCATGGCATACAACTGGCAATAATGGCGCGTTTACTTAAGTCACTCATTCCGACTGCATGCTTTGTAGATTGTGTTTCGCTGTAACCATCCATTCGAAAACGAGCGGCACGGTGAACGAGTCAACGGGCACATGAAAATTAAAGCATAAGAAGATAGACGAAAGAGCGGATAACATCCCATACAGTGCGGCAGGAAGCTCAAAGTCAAAACCAATTGAAAGGCGTCTGCGTAACAGTTCAAGGAGAACACGCTCAGTTGACCTCGCGGCATTCGGCTCCTGTCTCCAATGCATTAACACTTGAACTATCCGAGGACAATAGAGAAAGTGGACACACATTGTTTAAATGCAGTTCGAAGATTGTTCTAGGTTCAAGGTGTATAAGGGGCTGCATTGTCTGTTGGATGTGATTGGCTACCACACTGGACAGTGGAGGCCATATGGAAGCTGGTTCACCTGTGCTACTCTACATTCACACGATAGCCGATTATTCAGAGCTTCCATCATTAACACTATGGATGCACCTTGTTCCTGTATGCCTATTTCAGTCACTTGAAGCTTGTTACAGTTCCCTCCCCTTTTCTCATAACTGGAGTAATTGTATGTGGTAAACAGTGAAGCACCAGTACCAATTACTAGTGCACTGCTGATTTCGGTGGCGGTAACATCATTTTTATGTCCAAGTTGGATTTTGCAGAACCCCAATGTCCAATAGCCTCCCGGAAATCAATAGTAAAGTCTGCGTGGCGATCACAACTCGTTACCAAGAAGATTCAAAATTATTTTTTGAGCACTTAAATTCCCTATTCCGTTGTGGTCCGTTCCACTGGCTGGTCCTTGTTAACTTGCATTTATCGTTCGATACATTCCATTCGTTCGTACTCGCTCTCCAGTCAGGCCGATCCCCCTACTCTACTTACTAACACTCCTACCGTGTCTCGAGTCGTATTGGGCGTCGTTGCTGCTATCCCGGATAGCCTGCACGATCGGCTCTCATATATAGCGTCTGATTGGTCATCCGTCCACTTAGTCGATGCTTCATCCGCTAGTCAGGTGCCACAGCGGAGCGTGCTGTTAACCTAGACTCAGGCCTGTGCCATCTGCTCGCCGCTCGAAGGACCAATCCGCTTCTTTACTTTGCGCTGGGTCTGACCTGGCGTGCGCTCTCATGTCTCGTCGCTGACGTCAAATTGGTTCCTAGTCCATCGGTGCCACAACGATTCCGTTTGCCCCAGGTCTCAACCGTCATCACACCTCATGGGGACATCCGTTTCCGTTACGCATTCAAGCTGGATCTAATCAATAATGCTGTTAGAATATCCTTCGTGTATCCGGATTATAGTATCTCCAAAGTTGTTGATCACAGCGCTGAGTGTCTCACTTCGAATATATTCCTAATGTCCACGGCGATTACGGTTTGTTTAAGCATTCATTGCGGTCCTTATGGAAACTTTGTTTCGCAACTCGGCTACACACTGTTACCCATACTCGGAAGATTTTCAACTGACAATCCTGGTTCAATTTTCACCACATTTTATCCCCAGGTTTCAAACAAAGAGACCGGTCTTAAATTGCACAGCTTGTGGGGGAGAGAGGGTTCTGCGAAGTACCACACGCTGGGCATATAAACGCCCAAAATGTTTCGGTACCTACGGCAAGGATAAAGCGGCTTTGTGATTTCAGTGTGTAAATTCGCGCCATCGATTGGGCTACTTGTCCTCTTTCTCTCTTGAGGCCTCTGTCTTTGTGCTGAAAGCCAGCTCGACTCATCGGCAGACACTTTCTAGATGGCGGGTCGAACTCCATTGGGTCAGGACATAGGGCGTTCGCGAATTTGTTGAGACCAAATCTAATACTTGTTTATGGTATCGGGGTCTCATCGTGCATCAGAGATGGAAATGGCCGCTGACCTTGGTAACCCTCGTAGGTTATTCCAGCTGATACAGGAAACGGGCAACAGGAGATCTGGTGTTAGTGAAAATATACGTGACGAGAGTGAGCAGCCTATCCACAACTTGTCAAAACGCTTAGAGCGTTAGGCTGAGCACTTTGAAAGGTAATTCAATCGGTTGCAATTATTAGATTTG